AATCCAACTAAATACCCATTTCGAATTCACTTTAGATAGCGCCACGCGATCCAAAAATTAATCAACACTCTTTCACACAACACACAATGAAGCTTAATACAAAATACTATAGTACTGCAGATATTTTTCCAAATTTCCCCCCTTTTCCGATTAAAGAACTGTAATTCGTCCATTAATGTCACAGGACATATGATATCTCATGATCTCTCATTTCCCTCACACAAAATAATGCGTAATCGGAACTGAGTACTTCTCACATTATATTCCCAAAGTCCTAGGTAGTAACCTTAATCGCCTACCAAAATGTCGCCAAACTATCTGTTACCATATTCCAAAGATTAGCTCAAAAATGATGTATAACTTAAATAGCTTGGAAATTTGTTTTTAAAATAACATATGCTTAAGAGATTTTTAAAATTATGGCTGCTTCTAGGTTTCTTGACAAATGCATAAAAATCCAGTGAAAAGTTTCTGTATCAGTGCAAACTAGAAACATCATTGAATTATAGAGTCCTATCTGTTGTCAATATTTAAAAAGAATGGTTCCATAAGATCTTGTTTGAATTATAGAAGTCAGAATGTTGATGACTAACTCCTTGCCTATGATTGATGCTAAGTTAGATTATAAATAATACAGTACATTAAATAAAATATTACAGTACAAAGGTCCAAGATCTGTATTCATTAGGGCTCAGATGATTTCGGATTTGAGATTTTTTTTTAATATTAGATAGTCTATTTAAATCTAGTAAGATGGCATGTAAAAATTATAAAATTGAAAATATAAAATAGAGATTTATGAAATAATGATACATTTTCTGACCTTAAGAATCAAAATTTACAAAAAGAAAGCTCGGTTTTTATCCGTGTGCTTTATTAACATTTCTTTCATTGTAAGTGGTTAAATGTTCTTCATTTGTAATGGTAATATTTTCTCATTAACTCTATTGCTAGACATAATTTCCACTGCAGTTGTAAAGCTCAGTTGTTCAAATTCCATGAAAGCTGTGTTGAGAATTCCCACTAAATTGGCAGTGGAAATTTTTTCTTTGTGAACACCCTCTCTCTCAGTTTCTTCACCATTAGTAGCAATATTTTCGGTGCTACTTTGGTAGACGGATGCACGGATTTTGGCGAGCAATACGACTTATGATAAACCCATTGCTGGACAAGTTATTTATGGTAACCGATACGTTCTTGTCATTTTATTTAAAAAATAATGTGTTTTATTATGCATAAATGAAGTGTTTTAAATATTATTTATGGCTTCTAAATATTAAAAATCAATTTAATTTTGCATCTTTATTTGAAATAACAATTTTGTTGTTTATAATATTTTATATAATTTTATGTTGTGGATGATGTAATCAATGACATCACCTTACTTAACAAGTAATTGGTTTTATTAATATGTATAAATTTAATCTAATGTTTTAAACATTTTTTATGGCTGTTAAATATTAAAATAAATTAAATTTTGCATTTTTTAAAAAATGATTTTATTATGAATGATTATTTAAATAATTTTAATTCTATGCATGTTGTAATCAGCTCCCTGATTGGTTGCTGAATATTTGTGCATTACCGCGCTATTTTAAAATTTTATTATTCAACTCTTCGAATTCCTCAGATTTAAGGATACAGCTTAGTTTTACAGCTATTTTAGCTTAGTTTATTTCGTCTGTTATACATTAAACGCGCATGCGTGGACGCATTATGTGTTGACACATGTGCAGAAAGTTTGTACCTTTGAGGTCCGGATTATAGATCTTTCCGGATTATGGACGTCCGGATTAAAGACTTTTTACTGTACTAGATTTTGCTGTGTGTTAGTTGGTTGCTAATTGTGATATGAAAATCTTCAAATTTGTAGCTGTCATAAAGCTTAACTAGCATCATGAGGCGGGTAATTAAAGGCATGCTGTTCTGCTAAATTTTGTCTTGCTTCTTTTGCATGCTGATGAAATTGAGTCTGAATTATATTAGTTTAGTTAATTATTATACTTATGACTATTTCTTTCATGTGCTTAAAGATTTTCTGAGTCCTGAATAAATAAATTCCCCCATAAGGCTTGTTGAGAGCCAGTGGTAGACATTTTGCATCCTAGTGTAGTCTCTGCAGGTTAGAAATTCTGCTGCCAAGTGCCTTCCTAAATTCTAAAAATTTTGCCATCCTTTAATTCTGTTGTTTAGTGCATCTCTAAATTCTAAAAATACTGTCTTCCTTAAATTTTGCTACATGTTGTGGAAACACTCTGTCCCTGATCATGGGCTTAACTAAATAACAAGTTAGTGTTCACTTCAAACAGTGCTAAAATGTAATCTTTTTGCTTATGAGTATCAGTCTATTTTTTTTGTATATGGAAAGACATTTATGTTAAATTTCTCCTAGTCGACATATTCAACAATTCGCAACAGAGTTAGCTAAAGTCAGTAATCATCACCAAACTTAATGTCAAGATAAATGGTTACCGTTTATGGTTACTGTTTGGTATTAAATTACTAATATTAAAATTTTTTAACATGAAAATTTTAAACATTGCAGAACGAGTCATTTCTCAAGCTGCAACGTGCTGATAGTGATACGGTGATGAAAAGAAAAAATTATAAATAATTATTCGCCATGTTGTCCTCATTGCTGAAGTGATGAAATAAGAAATGAGTCTAACCAAAATGGGACTTTTCATATCTTTTATTATGAAAAAATGCTATACTGTTATAGGGAATGAATTTTATTTCTTTTCCTGAAAGAAATAATTTTCATAGAAAAAGAAAGAATAATTTTCATAAAAAAAGGAAGAAAAATTAAGAAAGAAATATTTTCTTTCTAATTTCTTACTTAAGGAAATATTTTCAAATATTAGCGGTAAAGTAAATTGCATAAAAACAGTTTTAATATAAGCATGGGGGAAAAAAACTTAGTTTGCTATTAGATTGTAATGCAAATTAATCATATTATAAATTTAAGTGATTAAAATTGTTTATTTCTAAAAAGATTTGAAGTAAGCTTAATTCATTTACTCTTATCTATTTACCGTTGCTTTCATGGTATCCCACATCACTCTAAGCCCTAAATTCCTGTGTTAACTTTCCCCTTAAAAAACGGGATTTTCCTTCACATAACGCAGCAGAATGTTGGTCATAATACTGTTTTGTGCCATTTTTTTTTTAACTACAAATGCAACGTGTTCCGAACAGGTTTAGGCCGAAGCACACAATGTTGTAGAGGTTGCATCGTTTTCTGTGTGAAAACGGGTCATTTGAAGCCACCTACTAGGAGTGGAAGAAGAAGTGCACAACAACCTTGCATTGAAGAATCTATCTTGAATGTTGTGCATAAATCACCTCAGACAAGTACAAGAGCTATTGCACGTCGTCTGCAGCTGAGTCATTCCACCGTTTGTAGAGTATTGCATGAAAATGGTTTGCACCTATACCATTTGCAGAGAGTCCAAGCCTTGCAAGAGACAGATTCTTCGAGTTCATTTCTGTCATTGGTTCTGTCATTGGCAGTGTGCGGCGCAGGCAGATTTCCCATCAGAAGTGCTATTCACAGACGAGGCAACTTTCTCAGAGGATGGCATCTTCAATAGCCACACCATGCATGTGTGGGCAACTCATAATCCACATGGCACACGTCCACGTGCATTCCAGACCTGCTTCTCTGAGAATATGTGGGCGGGTATTGTTAACGAATACCTCATAGGCCCATACTTCTTACCTGTACCATACAAATGGTTACGCTTATGTTCTATCATATTTTTCTGCAAGAGGTGCTATACGGAATTACTGCAGGACATGTTCCAGCTGTCGTTCGTGATCGTATGGACGGTTCCAGCATGATGGTGCACCAGCTTCACCATAACCCATGTACGTGTAGGGTCTTACAATTTTAATTGCCACCGATGTAGACATTTCAAAACAGGTAAAAAACGATGTTTTATTGGCTGTGGTTAACCCGTTCGATGGCCACTCCGTATCTCCAGATATTTATCCAGCTATGGATTTTTTTATGGGGTAGTCATCTCAAGAGCATCATTTACAGAAGGACTCCCGTTGACTCACTGGCAGGAACCTCGTTGTATGACTGATAAACATGTGCAGCTGTCAAAGTGTGCGCGATAAAGCCTATCAAAAATATTTTGCAACATGAACTAGTAAAACCTCTTTGAATTAACAATTCCCTTGCTGCTCGTACAGTATGATGTAGTAAGGCATGCCGAAGCACACAATGTTACTGAGAGGTGGTCGCTTTACATCCATTTTGAACATTTATTGTCAATACTGTGTTGCTACAAAGAAGCACTTTGCGTTGATTTTGTACATAAACACATTTTCCTCTTGTGTTTTTTTTTTTTTTTTTTCGTTCCTGCCGTAACCTGTCACTTTAGACCCTACATTCCTATAAAAAAATTCATCTTTTAGTACACTCCACCTCCTTTCACATGCTTTCACATTTTATATTCAGAATAGTAAAATGGTTTAAATAAATAGTTATAATAGTAGAATAAATATAATAGTAATAGATTTCTTGTAAACTGTTTATTCCTCAGGTAAATTTCAATTTTCATATGTAAGCATTAAAATTAACAAATTAAAACATGGAAGTGCTTATGTGGACGTGTACAAGATATAATAAATTTAAGTTATTAGAAGTTAATTTAACAGTAGATTTGTTTGTGGAAATTGTGGTTCATAACTTTTATTTGCCTTGATAAGATTATTAAATTGCTGTCTTTTAATTTTTGGCTTGTATGATAGTTATTTGCTTAAACTGCTGTTTGTCATTTTGCACCTAGCTGTTGAACAAGTACCCAAATTTTTTGGGCATTGCATTTGGCATTAGTTACATAACATATTTAGTAATAAACTAGGAAATTTCCTTGTTTTTTGAAACATTTTGTATTTGTGTATCTCATATTTAATCTAGAATTGTTTATGCTTTTTAAATCTCAATAATTCTAAAATAGAATGATTAATAAAGCTGCTTTTATTTATAGGTAAAATTTTTGCTGTGTAAAGGGTTAGAGAGATATCTATTTCTGTGGCTTTGACTTCTCATTATTCATTAGAACAATGAATGCAACTATTGCTGCTGGTATCAACTGTAGTTCTATAAATGAGCAGGTTTGTTTATGTTAATAATTTTAAAGTTGTAAACAAGCATTATCAACTGAAATTCGTTTCAGTCAGATTGCTCATATTGTATTGTCACCATGATGTCAGCCTAAGATAATACATAAAGCTCTTCCTAAAAAAGTTATGTAAAATTTTTGTTTAAACAATGTGTAAACACTTATTACATTGCTTTAATTTTAAATTAAAGATGAAAATAAATGTAAAAGTAAATTTTATGCAAAACAAAATGATGAATTTTAGGAAAAAAGTTTAACAGAAATTTTTATGCAATTTTTGATATTGCATTTTTTCCCAGAGAATTTATATCTGACAACGTTTAAAAATATTAAAAAGCTGTACTATAATTACATTTTTAAAGTTGTTATTCAGATATTTTTTTTATGTAAATGCATCTGAGGGGGGGGAGAAATCAGAACACCTACTCTGAAGAGCCAAAACATTATAACCACCTACTCATTAATGTGTTGCGTAACCTTTGCTTGCAAAACAGCTGCAGCTTCCCTTGGCATGGATACCTCAAGTTATTGGTAGAAGACTGGAGACAGGTTGTACCAAATATCTAAGCAATGGTCACCAAATATCTAAGCAAAAGTCAAGATATTCCAACAGGGTTGTGTTTGAGCTTTAAGCTGCTGTTCCATGACATCCAAGATGTGCTCTATTGGTTTAGATCTGGTGAGTTAGGTGGCCAGGAAATTAATTGGAATTCATCCTTATGCTCCTTGAATCACTCCAACATAATTTGAGCTTTGTGACTTTCAGCATTGTCTAGCTGGAAGTTTCCATTTCTAGTTGGGAAGACAGACGCATGTAAGGGTACAGCTGATCCGGAATTATGTTCAGATAGTCTGCAGCTTTCATGATCTGTTCTATCATAGCTAAGGGCCCCAGAACTGTCTATGAGAACAACCTCCAAAGCATAATATCGCTATACTCCAAAGCATATACCTGTGTATGACCTGCTAATACAGGGCGAGGAGCAACTGTTTGCCTCAAAGATGGTGTGCCATGACATGACCATCGACATGATGATTCAGAAATTTTCTTTCTTCCAACCAGGCAACTATCTTCCATGTATCTGTGGTCCAGTCTCGATGTTCATGTGCCCACTCTAGGCGCAGTTGACAATAGTGCTTGGTCAACAGAAAGACATGAGTGGGACGTCTGCTGCACAGTCCCATACCCAACACTCTCCACTGAACTGTATGTTCTAAACCATAGATGTGTGTATATATATTTATTTTTATCATATTTGAAAACACTGTTCAATATAAGTAAAATAAAAGAAAGTTTCCTCTCTGCTTAAATTTTCATCAGGAAAAAATTTAAAGAAAATTATAAAATTGAATGAAATTAACCACAAAACATGAGATAAAATTTAAAACAGTATATAAAATGTGTATCAAGTTGATTTGCTTCAGAATCTTGCTATAACTAGCTTTCAATATCCATTATTAAAGTACAAGTCAAACTTATCAACATGTAGATTTTTATAAGTTGTGCCACCACATAATGTGAAAAACTTCCTGGTTTTTCATATATCAAGCTTAGCTGGTTCTTTATTTTGAATGTAATGAAGTATGTCATTTGTGCCTAAGAAATCTATGCAAAAAATTATATTGCTTTTATGAATTTTTAAATTCCATCTTTACAGTTAATGCAATTTATCATATTATTGTTCCATGATATGCCGAAATTAACTGTCAAAATAAGTGTGTGATATTAGATGCATTAAATTGAATGTTTATGTATTCTTCTCTCCCTCCCAGGTGGCCAATGGCTCTAGATCATCAATATTAGCTTCTAATGTTGATTTTTCTGTAACTGGAAACAAAAGTAGCTTCTGTCAACAAGGGAAGTACTTTTATAAAGCAGGTGGCAGAGAAGAGCATTTTAATGGACAGAAAAAGACTAAAAGTATTGTTGATCAAAATAAAAATACTTTAGGTAAGTAAATTTAAGTTTAGGATGCTACCTGCATGTATATAACCAGACAAGTAATGATTATTTTATGTATTTGTGTTTGAAATTTATTTGATGAATACAGCCAGATAAGGTAACGAAATAAAGTCTAACCTGTAGACATAACAGTTGTGAAAGCATTTAATATTTTATATAAAATATTTTGCACTTAATCTCGTTTTTGCCTGTTATTTTTTATATGGTTCCACTGTTTATCTGCTTCATGTCAAGAAACATTTTGTATCTATCTTAAATCTGTATCATCTAAATATTAAATTTATCATTTTTAAGTATTTTGTAATACGTACTTAAATTTTCAACTTAAGAGTGTTCATTGATCGGAGAAGGTACATACTTCTATAAATGAAGTAATTTTAACTTGACTGGTTTTTAACAGTATTTCTTCTGAAGGAAGGGAATTTCAGTCTTTTCAATTACTATCTTTGTTGCCCTTGTTTATGCAAGAGCAGTTTCGAGATAATACAGTACAAAGTCTTTAATCCAGACGTCCATAATCCAGAATGATCTATAATCCGAACCTCAAAGCTACAAACTTTCTGCACATGCATAAACGCATTAATGCGTTCATGCATGTGCTTAATACATTTATGCATGCACATTTAATGTATAACGGACGGTATAAGCTAGGCTAAAATTATCTAATTATCTATTTCAGTTAATGTTGCAGATTGTTTTGTTCCTTAATCTTCTAATTGGATCTGGCTTATTATTTTTTCCAGACTGTTAGAGCATTTTTATAAAAAGTAAGCTTGAACTTTCGATTATGTCAAAAAGAGTTTCCAATTCTGGAGCTGCCAAAGGATCTACAAAGCGAAAGCATGTTTCGATAGTGAAGAAAGTGACAGAGAGGTTATTGAAAACGAAAAAATTTCGATTGACAAGTTAGTCTGTATTCTCGACACAGCAATTACAGGACCTTGAACAGTGAAACTTTGTAACTGAACAAATAGTTATGTCTGTTTATAGAATTAAAGAGAAAGTATTAGCACAAAAAACGAAGCAACTTAAACAACTTACATTGAAAGAAATGTTTAATAAAGTAAACAAATAATTATTAAGCTTTTTTTTTGTAAATTTTGATACCCTTTAGATCATAATTGCTCTTTATTTCATAAATTACAGTTTCATATTTTTAATTTTATAATTTCTGCATGCCATCTCACCAGATTTAAATTGATGATCTATAATCCGGAATCGCCGAAGTCCCGACGAGTCCGAATTAAAGGCTTTGTACTGTACTCATCAGATGTTCAGAGGCCAAATTAAACTGTATCTTGGCATTTTTAATATCTACTGAGTATTTTATTATTTATGAGAGGTTTTACAATAAATGTTTCAGGACTGCTGCTAAGAGGTGCTTTTGTAAGTTTTGGTGCATAGTTGTTTAAAATAATTTCTCTTTCTCTCTCTCTCTTTTTTTTTAAAGGTGAAGTTTTAATTGCTTTACCAGATGTTCAAACCTGCTTCTGAAATTTTTTATAAAAATACTGTAAAGTTTGTAGTTATGGGTTTCTTGATATCTTCAGCATTCATAAAACTCATCCTTTCAATACATATTTCAGTTTGGGGAATAGAAGGAAGTTGGATGAGTCAAATAAGTGATGCCCATCATTCAAACTTATTATTCTGTAGCCTTAAGAACATCCTGATGCTTTGAGTTCTTCAAAATCTATTTGCTTATTTCACGACTGGCTGTCAGTTTGCTGTCATTCATCCATATAGTACCATCCATTCTCGCCATGGACTAAGGACAACAGTTCAAGTCAGTGCATCTTCTTTCACTGACAGCTGTACTTGGGCCAAAGTGCACTTGTTCTTCTCTATAACATCCTGCCAGTAATAGACTTTTCAATCACTTCCATCTTCCTCAAATGCCACAGCAATGCTCGTTGGATGGAATCCTTACCTCTAGTTTTTTTCCGGACTAAGGCCTACCTTCAAGTCCAACCTTCAGTGCACAGCGGCAGCATTTCTTTCAGCCATTGGCCCACCAACTTCAAATGCACCAGCTATTCTTGGGCCTTCATCCTCATACCCATACCAGAACCAGAACTCCTCATACCTTTGGTACTTGGAAGCGGGTGGAGGGCGTGGGCCATATACCTGCTTACCTTTGTTAGACAACAAATGTCCCTGCCTCCGTCACCTGTCACCTGGTTCTTGAGAGGGAGGAGTACTTCAGGGAATCGTTCTTGTTATCCCCATCAGATGGCAGCACTTGCAAGGACTTGAATTTATTCACAATTGTGAAAGTACATTCTGGGATTACAAAGTGTTCTGTTTGGACAATGTTATAAGGGCCAGCAAGTAATGTAGTGACTGTAGCTACAACACTTAATATTGTATATTCCTACCATAGCTTTTTGATAAGGTATTTAATATTGTTAACCTTGTTATCTGTGTACAAGATACTTGCCTCAAAATTGTTACACAACTTAAATATTTAGAACTCGCATTTGACCAAAAACTGAATTGGATATCTCATATTTTAGAAATCAAGAAACATGATAGTGCTGTTGCAATTAAACGTTAAATGCAAGGACAGCATTGGGGATTGAATCCACATATTCAAAAAGTCCTTTTTCATATCGTTATTGAAAAAAATGTTGCATATTGTGCAGCCATATAGGCATATCCAATGCAGAAGTGAATAATTATACATTTTCGGAGTATACAGAGACCATTTGCTTTAACTAAAGCTTTTCGAACAACATCTTCAAATGCAATAAATGTCATGGCCAGTTTAATATCACTCCATATCAGCACATAACTTGAAGCCACAATGCAGCAAGTAAAACTACTGCACCACTTAGCTGCTTTTAATGATATTCAATTCTCCTCATATGTTTTATTTGTCAAATACCAGTTACATTGGCCGTTAGGCCATTGAACTCTTTGCTTGCCAATAGTGCTGAAACCTACAAGAAAAATTTGTCAGTGCTTCACACTGGTCCAAATGTTCCGCCGTCATTGGCCGTCCACTATTACATAAAAAAAAACACAGCGGCGAATCAGCTAGTCCAATGCGAAATAAATGATTCTGTAGACAGTCATGTCCCATCAATTCAACAAGCGGCAAAGCTGTAGCAGATTTAGCGTAACTCAGGGTACACCACGAGGAGGCCTTCCACACTACACCTCTTCTCCTCATATGTTTATGAATGACAACCAAATCACCTAGGAACTCATCCATCAATACAAGGATTAGGGATTCGGGTCAAAACAAATAATAAATACCTTCTTCCTGCGACAGAATGCGAGATCTCTACTGATGGATCTAAATTAATGAGAATGTTGGACACTTCATAATGGCATCATAATTCACCAATGGAAGAGTCAACTTCACAAAAATAATAGTATATTCCAAGTCGAGGCGATGGCAATAAGTAAAGCTGTTTCGCACAGGCACTACACTATAAATTTATTATAGTTAATAAACTGAGGTTATTATAGTTAATAAACTGAGAAACAATGGACTGTATTGTATCTCACTTTTATTCTCATTAATTTACATCATTCATGGCCACTCGAAGCCACCAATTCTCTCCCATGCTCAAACTCACAATCTCATGTCACAAACTCCAAGAGCTCAAGGCGCATGCGTAGATGCTAGTAATGAAGTGCGCGTGCAGGCGCAACATACCGCCCGCCTTGACATGATGTAATCATTCAAAATTGTAAATATTACAATAAAAATTACACAGTGTGGCAATATGAAATACGGGTAAATAATTATAAACATCAAATAATAACATCAACAAAATCAAACTACTATAATAAGAAAATACAATAATTAATTACAAACATACTTTGTTTAATTTGGCATAGGTAAAAGATAAATTTTATTAATTGATCTGTTAAAAATACCACTTTTTGTTTTCACTGAAACTACTCTAACCTTATTGTCTTTACCTAAGAATATCTGTATGATTTTGCCAAGAGGCCAGTTACATACAGGAACATTATCAGTCTTTAAAATTAACATAGTTCCAACCTTGACGTTGTCTTTTTCAAAGAACCATTTAGTTCTTCCTTGCATTGCACTAAATAGTTATTTCTCCAATACTTCCAAATTGTTTGTACTATTTTAGTCAATTTTTGCCAGCTCTTTAATCTATTATCGTTAACGTTTAAAATATTAGGTTCTGCAATAGCCGTGATAGGTCTGCGTATTAGGAAGTGGCCTGGTGTCAAGATATCAAAATCCTCTGGTTCAGATGATAAAGGATGCAAGTGCCTAGAATTCAGAATGCCTTCAATTTGAGCAATTACTGTAAGAAACTTCTCATAGGTTAGTTTTAAATTGCCTACTACATGTTTCAAATGAAACTTAACAGATTTGACACTTGCCTCCCAAAGACCTCCATGATTGGGAGCTCTAGGGGGAATGAATGGCCAATCAATACTCTCACTCAATAAATAATTACCTAATTCATCATCTGGTTTGCTGACTAGCCTATTCAATTTCTGTAATTCTGCGTTACTACCAACAAAATTGGTTGTGTTATCTGAAAATATGCGTGCACACTTGCCTCTCCTGCTGAAAAAACGCTTTAAGGTTGAAATAAATGCTTGACTAGACAGGTCTGTTACCAACTCAAGATAGCAAGCTTTGGTAACAACACAAACGAAAATGCATACATACACCTTGTTAAGGCGACCTTTTCTCTGATGTGGGTATTTTATAAAATAAGGACAAAAAAAAAAAAAAAAAAAAGAAAGAAAGAAATCAACTCCAACACAATTGAATGGAAAATTCAGGCTGACTCTTTCTTGAGGGAGTTGACCCATAAGTTATTGACAGGGCACTGGTTTTGCTTTGAAACATACGACACATTCATGTACTATTTTTGCTACAAGTGTTGTGCCCGTTTAAGGGTCAAAACCCTTGTATAACAATAGACAGTAAGCCTTGTGGACCAATATGCGTGTATTTCTTACGAAACATCACAGTAATTAGATTA